CCCCCCCCCCCCCCCCCCCCCCCCCCCCACCAATAAATGGACTTCAAGGCCTAAGGGTATTCCCCATAATGGGACTTGAGGACCGAAGGGTACTCGCCAATAATGGGATTTGAGGACCCAAGCGTACTCCCAATAATTAGACTTGAGGACCCAAGAGTACCCCCAATAATGGGACTAGAGGACCCAAGGGTATCCCCCAACAGTAGGACTTGAGGACCGAAGGGTACCCCCCAATAATACGACTTGAGGACCCAAGGGTATCCCCCAATAGTGGGACTTGAGGACTCAAGGTACCCCCAATAATAGTACTAGAGGATCTAAGGGTGCCCCCCAATGATAGGACTTGAGGACCTAAGGGTACACCCCAATAATGGACTGAGGACCCAAGGGTGCTCGCCAATAATGGGTCTTGAGGACCCAAGGATACCTCAAGAGTAGGACCGTTACCCCTTTCCCCGGTAACTGGTAACGGTAAGTTCACACGGCTAGCCAGGTGATGCCTCTAGCATTCCAGGTCATGCCCCAAGCGTCCCAGGTCATGCCCCAAGCATCTCAGGTGATGCCCCAAGCATTACAGGAGATACTACTAGCATCCTGGGAAATTGTGATTAGCATCGCAGAAAATGCTACGAGCATTCTAGGCGGTGCTATGAATTATGGCAGAGGGGCTGAGAAGAAAAGTGAGCGCCAAACTGCGTAAACTTCAAATTTGGAGCTAACTTTTGTTGACCCCATCCTACCGGGATTTCCTAAAGCCATCGACAGATTAGAAGATCCCTCTATATTAGAAGATCCCCCTATATTAGAAGACCCCTCATAATAGAAGACCCCCTTGGATAAATGAAGCAAAGGACATATTAGAAGACCCCCCCCTCTGACGAAATCGATTTTTTTTTACAAATAATTTCTGGAGTTTATTAACTTTTTTAGTATTTAAGTCCATAATTGTATCTTAGATCAGTATGAACAATATTTTGCTTCATTCATGAAAATGATGCATCAGTTCGAAGTGAAAAAAGTCTTGCGAAACGATGAATAGGAGACAACTATTTAGTAAAGAATGTATTTCTTTATAGAATACATATCATGGAATCTTTTTAGGGGTCTTTTGCAGCATATTCCGAAGGAATTTTTACGGTTCTCTATGCAAAAAAACTTCTCATGAGCGTGGGTTATGATGGACTCAGTGAAGAACCGTGGATGTAACGCATGAAGTGATCTTTGTAAAATAGTACCATATTAGGTGAAACTTCATTGCCTAATAATTAAAAGGCCTCATTATCTGGGATTTCTAGAAATTCTGAAACATATTCATCACAAAGGATTCTTTCATAATTGAAAATTACGTGAACTCATGGATATACGCTCAAGACAGAAACGAATAAGAAAATCTCAATTCGACAACGTCTTCGATCGGATTCAGTTCGCCTCAGACAAATTCAATCGAATAAGATCATTCGACAATTCGATTTGATTTTCGTCTCTAATACGCATCGGTTTTTTGTAACTACTTCTCATGAGACCCAGAACGCATTTCTATTCTCAATAAAACCTGAAGTCAATTTTTAAAAAAAGACCAAGAAGAAAACACAAAATGTGTATCCAACTACTCTTTCTTTATTAATTGCTTATTCTTAATACAAATGTATTCATCGACGTTGGCTTGAGACTTATAAATATGCTATTAGTAGATTTTGATGTGAACAGAGTCCATTAATACTAGTCAAAAATAAACAAGAACAATAAATTTAATTGAGTTTGATAAAACAAGTTAATTCTTTTTCTGAGTTATTTAGTTATTGAGAAGTTAAAATTTGTTCAATGGCAGATCTTATTTTTTAGAAAAAAAAACTGTTAGTGAACATTTTACCAAGGTGTTCGGGTACGTTTTCTTTAATATTCTAAGAATATTTATTACCAATGATAGACTCTCTTTTCTGAAACACGATCTGAAAGGAGTGTTGAAGTGTTTAAGGGTAGAAATTTGGACCCCCCCCCCCCACAGACCGTGACAGACACTCACGTGACCCATCACAGACCGTGACAGACTCTCACGTGACCCATCACAGACCGTGACAGACAGGCTTTGGACCCATCACAGACCGTGACAGACAGGATCTGGACCCATCACAGACCGTGACAGACAGGCTTTGAACCCATCACAGACTGCGACATACAGACTTTAGACCCATCACAGACCGTGACAGACAAGCTTTAGACCCATCACAGACCGTGACAGACAGGCTCTGGACCCATCACAGACCGTGACAGACAGGGCTCTGGACCCATCACAGACCGTGACAGACGGGGTCTGGACCCATCACAGACCGTGACAGACAGGCTTTAGACCCATC